GAGCAGCGGGCTACTATACCATTTGGAAGCTAGTACCTTAAGCTGTGTATCTGTGAAATTTGGCGAACCTAGCCCAGAAGAAGTTCCGAGATTGAAATAGAAGCCTGAGTTGGTGAAAATACCGCACCAGAGTTTTTCAAATCAGACGTCAATCAAAGGAGGAAAGGCGCTGCCGTCAAATTTTGCACACTTGCGCCGGGCCATAAGTTGGTCGTGTTAACGGTGTAAGGGACTGTTCATCGAAAGACGCGGCGTGCCGACACGAAAAAGCATATTGCGCTTCAGGAGCCCACGTACAAGGAAGAAGGAAAAAGAGATTGTTGTGTGGATGGTCCATAATCAGTCATCACTCGCGCAAGAAAACAACGGGTGGATGAAAGTCAGGCGCGTGAATACGAGCACGACGAGCGCTACTTTCGGTCTTCCCCGCGGGCCCGAGGACGGACATCCCCTACTGCAAATTACTGAGTGTTCGCATGACCCCCATAAACTAACCGCCCATGCGTCAAGGGGGTGTGCGCATGGGTACCCAATTTTCTTATAGAAGACGAACGCAGTACCAATTCTATATCTCTAGCAGTAATATTCTCAGCATGAGATGTCACTCACAACTGTGAAAACGCACCCCGGCCCTAGATGAAATATGGGTGGTCTCGGACCTCGAGTCGAAACTCACAATCGTCAATTTTCTATGAATGCAGATGAGAAGCCGCCCGAGTTCTACCATGAAGAGTTACGTGGGCGCAAGTGGATGATCATCATAGCAAAGGATTCCCACACTGTGGCTTTCAAGCGGCTCTACAGACAAATCCGTCACTGTCGGTGCATATTGCCTGTTCCTCGGCATTCAGATCGACAAATGGATGGTACCACACAACTACAAGAAGGCCACCGTTGCTCGTCATAGTGCCAGACCCCGAGTAACTGATCATTGTACCGCATCAGTGCTGGCGGCACCCACAAACCAACACCGGAGACCTGCAGTTCAATCGTCCCATTCCGCCCGTCATACAACCATGCGATTACAACTGCTTCTACCTTCAGGCATAGAGCAGTTACTCTTCGACGGCGCAGGAACCGCGTACACACTGTTTTTGTCATTTAGCAGAAATTCGGCGCAACAGACAGTAATGTTACTCAGAAAAAATCGGACGGTTACCAGAGGTCCAAAGGCCCTTCGGGCGCACGGGGGAAGGACGGGAACACACGTCGTGGTGGGGGTGAAGGAGGGATTTACTCATCCTAAAGCTAAAATATCACTTTTCTATCTATTCTCCTCTTTGTTTATTCAAAAAAACCATCGGCCACTTTGAATGGGATGACCTAATATATGGGCGGACGACGTGGCGGGGAACAATAATGTGACGCCTAAATTGGTTTCTTTAAACTGAATTGTCACGTGCTTCTAACAACCAGCTCCGTCACATACATTGTTCGCGAATCACACATAGCAAAATAAAACGTAGCAAATAGACCGAATCCAGGGCGACTAATAGCAGCGCAGGCAGGATCTTACGATCGGGGACGCTAAAGCGTCACGGTTCCGCCAGAACTGCTAAGAAGATAAAAATGTGGTGCAGTGTACGTGGTCCGCGACGAACAACCTTGTACCAGTTTCGCGGCAAAAAATAGTAAGAGAGGGGCGCTAAAGCGCAATGTAGGTTTAGTGACGCCTCCTTCTTTCCAGTGAATTTGCCTCCGACTTCGCCTTTAAGGCCCGCCGTTCAGTGAAAAACGAAGCTGCAGCGATAAAAGCATTAAATCGTCACTTGCTACGGTCGAGCTCTTTACAGCAGGGCGAGAATCAGCCCCCTGTCGGCGGATCAGCGGCATAGTAGTTGAAGATGGTTAATGGGCACATAAAACTGGCGGATCGCGGAATAGAATGCTACTCTAGGGCGTTAGCGCAGCGTTTTTTTAGGCTTTTTTTCTTCACATATGGAGTTACCGGCGAAAACCTTGTTTTGTCTATATCGTCTAATATGCATCCCCTATCGAGTCACCCGGAGCAAGTTACAAGTGGAAGCTGGGGGTCTCCAGCAAGGGGGGGGGGAGTTGTATCAGGTCGTTGAAGGAAGGAACCAGGAGAAATTGGTACGAAGTATATAGGAAGCTGGGTGGTAGGATAGGTACTAGAAAATGGGTAGTACCTGATCGTGGTGAAGTAATTTTAATTTTATAAGAAGCGGTCGCAATTACATATTTTACAAGAAGCGGTCGCATTTGCAAAAGTTTCTCCAGAGGATGTGCCCTGATTCTGATCATTAACACGCTGACAACGATGGCAGACAATGGTGTCTGCCACTGTATTGTTCTAATAATAAAGATGTACGAACAGCCAAGTTTGCTGGAAACTTATCCCTGGGGGTAGCTTGTCCCTCTGAAGTGGTACCACAGTCGCTTGGCACGAACTGCCTGGCGCCCGCGCCACAGGCGCCGGCGCCAAAATACCATAAATCACCAAATTCGCTGAAAACTTGTCTCCTGGGGCAGCTTGACCCCGTGAACACGAATATCACAATCGTTTGCCACGAAAACCGCCTGGCGCCCGTGCCACAGGCGCCGGCGCCAAAATGTCCTAGATCATCGAATTCGCTGAAAACATGTCTCCTAGGCTAGTTCGACCCCTGAACAAGAATATCATATCCACTTGACGCCTTGATGACGGTTTCCGTCAATGGTGAACGACAGCTAATTTGTCTTGGGGGACGGTTTCACCCAGTGCTGTCACCGTAACCCAATGAGTTATTATGTAAATTAAAATCTGCGCGATTGTTTTATTTTCTTTTCATGAAATTAGTTCAAGAACAAACATTTGCGGGCCAAGGGGATGCGATATTGGTCTTTAGGAGGTCAAACTACCCCGGGAAACAAATTTTCAGTCAAATCTGCCTCCAGAGGAAGAATTTGGAAAAAATGGCCTGATTTTGGAATACTGAAGCAATAAAAGCTAAACTGTGTCAAAGATTCGGAATTCCTATGCTCGTCTCTTGCATTTCTTGATGCGTTTCGATCGTAGTCATTCCTTTACCCGGAAATTACTAAGTTTCAAAGAAGAAAAATGTGCCGTCCCACGCGCAAGTCATGGGGAAATGGCTCGTCGTCAACGTGTTAAACAGAAGCAGCAGTTCTGCCGCGCCACTAACTGGGGAGGACAATAGAGTCTGGTCATTCACAATTTGAAAGGTATTGACGTATAAAGTGTGAGGAGGTGATTCTAACTGTGTAAAGAGCTCCATGGATAAAAGCTCATAGGAAACACGGCCACAGCGAAAAAAGCAAAGGAGGTGCGAGTTTGCATTTTTTTTCGTCGTTTTTGGAGCAAATAAGGCGAGTACTGTACTACTGTCAACTGAGCTGCTTGACGTAATTGCCCATAATCGTGACAGCCTTTGATAACACTTTTGAACTGTTTCAGTGTCACAATGCCGAAGTGAGGACCTATACCCATTTGAAGAAAGTTCCCAAGGAGAAGATACATATTCCAAAGGTTCGCAAAATTTTTCGGTCATAAATTTTACTGCTACATTGGAGAGTTCTATGATTCGGTTGTTCCTACATACAGGAGGGGAGCCAAAAAAGACACTTCAGCCGAGTCACATATCAGCAAAGTTTTCGCAGCCCAGACAGAAGACGTGGATACGAGTACCAGGGCGGAAGATACCCAAGATGTTCCTCGATAAGCAGGAGCAGGCTCTCGCCCATCACCTTCATGTACACCAAAATATGAAGTCATCTCGCAAGTGGACTGGAGAAGGCCTATGGAATTCACGTCACCTCCAAACAGCTGCGAAACTTCTTGTATGGAGTCACCCATGGACAGCTACCTGGAGACCGGCACTCTTGATCTGGAAGACCTCCAACATCGAGCAGCTCCGACAACGTCGCTACGGTCTAGGACATCATCTCACCACAGTCGCCAAGGCGCGGGTTGATGGTATGGACCGGACGTACTAGGAATGGAAAGACCTGATATTTTCTTTCGTGCTCCGTACTGCTACAGCATTGGGTGCCACCACATGGAATCGAAGGGCGTTGGAAAACTTTCGCCTACTTGGAATGGAAGGGCGTTGAGTACCTGAAGAAGACGGAATATCTAAGTGTGTCACCTGACCTAAACCCCTTCGATTACCGGGTTCGGGCGGAGCTCAACAGGGTGGTCTACAGTGGCGGAGAAATCAACTATCTCGCTGAACTCAGGCACCGAATCACGGTCGCGCCAGAATCTCTCGATGGCGCTCGTCCAGAAGGCTGTGGCGGAGTCATGATAGTGTACAATGTGCTGTTGAATATGGTGGTGGAAATGTCCAATCAGAATTCAATAAAGTGTAACTTATATCGCCTTGAAAGTCGAGGAAGAAAAGTGTCTTTTCTTAGCCCCGCTGTAGGTACATATGTCAATATTACTCACCCTAGTAAAAAAATGTTAGTGCTCAGAGAGTTATCACCAGAGCGCTGAGTTATGGGCAAAAATGAGACCCTATACAGAGCTCGAACTCCGCATCTTCAGCTGCCCGATTGCGTTATCCACTACGCTATCGAGCAACGGCAGGAATGGCTCTGGTGGCGTAATGGAGCGGAAGATGCGGATTCGAATCCGTCTGGGGTCTCACTAAAGCTCATAGCTCTGATTCTTCTGATAAAGTAGGCAAACGTTAAGTGAAAGCAGGCCAACATTCAAGTTTCATGTGATACAATACAATCCTCTGAATTATTGATTCTTCAGATTTACTGCACGAAGATGTTCACAGAATGGAACCCAGTCAAAGGGTACATAATCATGGAGTACCTTGAGGACCTGAAAGTTGTTCATATATACGAAAACGTTACACCAAAGGATTTAAAGCAGGTTAGCTGCTGAGTAGGTGATGAGAATGCTCGTGAGTGGAATAAACGGCAGCTCAGATCCGATCCTTTACTGGCAAAGATAAAAAGTCTCACCTATAGACTCTTACGACGAATGGATACGACCTTTTTAAGATTCTACGACAAAAGCTGTGATGGAGGCAAGTTCCCTCGAAATGCCTTTGGAGGAAAGAAATGAATACATATCTCCCTTCAAAACACTTTTTGGAGCGATATTCCAGAAGGAGGTACGGAATAGGCTTGAACAATCGGGCTCGAAAATGGAAAAATTAGCTGCTTCATTTTTTGATACTCTTTAGACCATAGAACAAATAATGAAGTTGTTCTCTTCATTCGACGATGGAAGGTTTGCGGAGAAGGGCGAGCGTTTGAAGGCGATTTTGCCGGATATGGTTAACCTGGACTGGGTGGACAATATGAGCCAGGAGCTTGGTGAGTTGATACAGACGATTGCTCAGGTACTTGGAGCTTCATTTGCTACTTGGAAGACGCCCAGGCATTTCATTAACGAAGATATCCTTCGTACCACAGCACGTCGCGAATCTTCTTGAAAGAATGCTTTTCCAGGGCTAACGGAATTGCACGTAGAGTCATGTAGGCGCTAAATGAAACCTTATTGCCAGATCTAACGTGTTGTTGCCTGAGACGCGTTTCGTATACTGTAGGCAGGCGAATTCAAATTAAACTCGACAAATCCTCGCTCACACAATAATACATAGTTCTCCTACTGTGTGACTAGGTATTTATAGAAAATTTCAGACCCTCAATTTGTCTGGCGCGTGACCTTTCTGGGGAACGTGTGGTTCTTGATTTTTTTTTTCTAAACTGGGCATTTTTCCACAACATACCTAGAGCTTACGATAGGCTGTTTCGCAAAACAAGCTTGTTTTGCTACTCATACAGGAATAACGCGCAGAAGCGCTAGCGAATCGGCGTGTACGAATCTCTATCACTGTTTAGGCTGCGTTTATACTTTGCGGCAGCGTAGCGTAGCGCTTCCAGCGTACGCCAGCGGCAGTGCCGGGGAGAGGATGCATATCGATCTAGCGTTCCCAGCCGTCTGTGACACGAATCTCTAGAGACATACACCTCGTTCGGCAGTCCTCATACAGCGTAACGCTAGCGTACGCCAGCGTTTCTCCAGCGTTTGTGGCCGTCAGAGACGCGGAATCGATGTGTATTGTAAAGACTGAGGCAAGTGAGAGACGCGCAATCTCGATGTGTTTTGTACCCTCCAGCTCTCCCATAGTCTCTACTCCCCTGCCGCTGCAAACGCTAGCAAAACGCTGGTGAAACGCTGGAGAAACGCTGGCGTACGCTAGCGTACGCTAGCGTTACGCTGGTGACGCTGGGAACGCTAGATCGATATGCATCCTCTCCCCGGCACTGCCGCTGGCGTACGCTGGAAGCGCTACGCTACGCTGCCGCAAAGTATAAACGCAGCCTTACGTGTTTCGCTGTAGGGTGGAACCGAAAAATTCGCATATGTATTCCAACAGAATAAAGACGACAGAAAAGCAAGGAATGGAAAAAGACAGGAGAAATGAGGCATTAATACCTCAAAAAATTGTATTGAATAGGTGAAGGTATTTGAATGGGTTCCGGGGGGGGGGGGCGTAGAACGGAGAAAATGGGTGAAGGTGAAAGGTACGGTGGTGAAGATGTTGGCGGATATATTCAAGGAGATGAGATGTAGCATTCAAATAAAACAACATTGCAGAAGATTACCGGCAACCTTATTCCACGCCTATGTTTAGAATATTTAGACGCCAAATCAGGTGTTTTGATGCTGACTTTAGTGCTATTTTTTCTAGTGTGCACTTTACAATCGCGCTGAGGCTGATATAATGGGCTGACCAGGCATGATTTCGCAGTTCCAGGTGTTCACCGGAAGGTTAACCTATTGGCGTACATGCTAGAGGTAATCCTAGCGCCGTGTATCAAAAGGAGGCAAATAAAAAGTCTGTTTGACAAATGTTTGTTGGTTTTTTTTGAAAAACCCACCAACGTGATCCCGCTGACCCATCTACAGAAAGCTTGCTACAGAAGATTGTGTAAGATTCACTGCGACCAGAAGGAACACACCCCTGCGTTAGAGGGGAATCCAATTAATGTCTGAGTAAGGCGCCAAAGGATAGAGCTCTACGTGTAGTTTTGGTGCCTGGGCAGTGCATGCAAGGAAAAGCGATTTGCCACGCTTTTTCTCTTTCTCCAGACAAGATATTCATTTCCAGGAATGGAAAATGTCTTATGTCACGGTGATTTATGGTCCATGAATGTTTTGTGGAGGCAAAATGGATCTAATCTTAGCATGGCTGCTGTTGTGGACTACCAGGTAACATCTATGTATGACGCTTCCAAGGCAAACGTAGAACTGAGTGTATCTTTATTACAATGAACCAAAACTCAACTCAGACAGCACATTTCGGTTGTGCAGCAACCGATCTTGTGCGGGTACTTTGTGCATGTCTCAGCGGCAAGGATCGGCAAGGAACATTGGGAACAGCTCCTGGAAGAGTTCTACGGTTATCTCAAAGAAGAAGTAGGTGACAGGAAAATGCCATACACTCTTGATCAAGTAAGTAAGCTTACATATCCAGCTTCTAAATGCTTCCTCAAACTAACCTAACCTCCTGAACTCCGAATCCTTTCAGCTCAAAGAAGCTTATCGCCAATACTTTCCGATCGGCGCGTTTATGATAGTGCCTATGACAGGACCATTTTTCGAGATGGTGTGTAAGACCACCGATGAGGATCTTCAAGAAAAAGGT